AGTTCCCAGGGGACTAAAACCAAGACTACCAATCCCTTCTCTGCAATCTTAGATTCCCTAAATGTTCTGAAAAGCAAGAGTAAATTCAAAAACCATCTGGCAATAAAAGCTGACCTGAATGGGCATGGGAGCAATGTGGCTTCACTATACCCCTGAGCAGGAAAATCTATGTGTTCTTGCAGAAACAGTCATTTGTCTCACTACAGTGCAGCCCCAGACTCAGGGCCGCATGTCACATATTGCTGTAAATGTACCGAATTACCTTATTACCTTTCTAAAGTTTGAAAAACAAAACAAAACAAAACCCAAAAACCTCGGCTAGGTGCGGTGACTCATGCCTGTAATCCCAGCACTTTGGGAGGCCGAGGCAGGTGGATCACGAGGTCATGAGTTCAAGATCAGCTTGGCCAACATGGTGAAACCCCGACTCTACTAAAAATACAAAAAATTAGCCTGGCGTGGCGTAGTCCCAGCTACTCGGGAGGCTGAGGCGGGAGAATCGCTTAAATGCAGGAGAATCATTTGAACCCAGGAGGCAAAGGTTGCAGTGAGCCCAGATCGCGCCACTGCACTCCAGTTTGGGCGACAGAGTGAGACTCCGTCTTTAAAAAAACCAAACCAAACAAACAAACAAAAAAACTCTCAGCCTCCCACCACCACGCCAGACTAATTTTTTGTATTTTTAGTAGAGACGGGGTTTCACCATGTTGGCCAGGCTGGTCTCAATCTCCTGACCTCGTGATCCACCCGCCTCGGCCTCCCAAAGTGCTGGGATTATAGGCATGAGCCACTGTGCCCAGCAAAAATAACTCTTAATTCACATCTGACCCAAAGGTTTTTACTCAGGGCTTATGAATCTATATTTTTAAACCAGTGTTTCCCATACTTTAGGTGCCTAAGAATGACCTGGAAATCTTGTCATAATAGAGATTCTGAAGCCCTTTACAGAATTTCTGATGCAGTCAGTACAAATCAGAATTAGACCGGGGCCTACGATTCTGTGTTCCTAATAATCTCCTAGTGATGCTGTTGGTCCAGGGACCACACTTTGAGTAGCAAGAGTCTAGGCAGCCCAATTTGGCACCAGGAGCCTGGCAGCTGCCTCAGCACAAAGTCCCAGCCTGACATTTGCTACGTTCCTGATCTGTGCTGGGACACGACAGTCGGGCTGGCATCTGAATCCCTCCCAGGCTGCTCTGTGAGAGATTCTGCTGGGCAGTAGAAAATAAGCAAGTTTAGTCAGAGCCTTTAGTTGTAAACAGACAGAAATTTTTTCCAATCTCTGCTCTGGATATTTGGTTAACACTGGGTACCCAACTCACAAATGCTTTGAGAAGTTACAAAGTTGGTTTGAGTTGGAACAGTAAACATAAACCCCAAAAAGAAGTCAGACATGTTTGACTTGTAACTTCTGCTGGCAGCAAATGAATTTTTTTTTTTTTTGAGACGGAGTTTCGCTCGTTACCCAGGCTGGAGTGCAATGGCACGATCTCGGCTCACCGCAACCTCCGCCTCCTGGGTTCAGGCAATTCTCCTGCCTCAGCCTCCTGACTAGCTGGGATTACAGGCACACGCCACCACGCCCAGCTAATTTTTTGTATTTTTAATAGAGACGGGGTTTCACCATGTTGACCAGGATGGTCTCGATCTCTTGACCTTGTGATCCACCCGCCTCGGCCTCCCAAAGTGCTGGGATTACAGGCTTGAGCCACCGCGCCCGGCCCTAGCAAATGAATTTTTTAAGAATATGCTGTAAACATTTTAAAATTGGGAGAGTTTACACCAAAGCCCAGAGTTCTAGACTGCCTTAGAAAACAAACAGAAGATTTAGCAATCCTGGGAGGCCATTTCCAGCATATTTATTTGTGAAGAATGTTCTCAATTTGTTTAAGATGCTAAGAAAGTGTATCTGGGTGGCAATCTTCAATACCATGCTAAGTTCACTCATGAGCACGACCTGACTGGTGCCTCACGCATGTGAGCGTGCAACCCCTGACCTGGAGGCTGACAGCCTTGCTTAAGGGATAAATGATTAAACTCTTCTGAAGGGACTACAAGTCTTGGTTTCCTGGCATCTGGTTGCAGTTCTTAGCTACCACTCAGGCAGAGGAGGCCTGGAGCAGGATAAGCTCAGAAAAGAAATGCACATGGAATTCAAGAGAGGATCCCTGCTGTGTGTGAATCTGCAGTCACAAGACTCCAAATCTCAGTTTCCTTATCTATAAAATGGGGACAGGCCAGGCATGGTGGCTCCCGCCTGTAATCCAAGCACTTTGGAGGCCAAGGAGGGTGGATCACCTGAGGGCAGGAGTTCAAGACCAGCCTGACCAACATGGTGAAACCCCATCTTTAAAAAATAAATAAATAAATAATAAAATAAAACGGGGACACACTTTATAATAAATTGATAATGCAAATCAAAGCATTTTAAAACTAGGGGTGCCCAGAAGGCATTGTTAATTTTTTTTTAAGTACCATTAAAGGCAATATTTAAAATTTTTTAATGCAGTAAGTCAGTGAAGAAATTTTAGGCTTGGAGAAGAGAAAGACTATATATGATTTAGACAAGAGGTCAGTAAACTATGACCTGTGGGTCAAATCTGGACCACCACCAGCTGTTGGTTTTTTTTGTTTTTTTTTTTTTGAGACGGAGTTTCGCTGTTGTTACCCAGGCTGGAGTGCAATGGCGCATTGCACTCCAGCCTGGGTAACAAGAGCGAAACTCCATCTCAGCTCACCTCAACCTCCGCCTCCTGGGCTCAGGCAATTCTCCTGCCTCAGCCTCCTAAGTAGCTGGGATTACAGGCACGCGCCACCACGCCCAGCTAGTTTTTTTGTATTTTTAGTAGAGACGGGGTTTCACCATGTTGACCAGGATGGTCTCGATCTCTCGACCTCGTGATCCACCCACCTCAGCCTCCCAAAGTGCTGGAATTACAGGCTTGAGCCACTGCGCCCGGCCTTTTTTTTTTTTTTTTGAGACAGAGTCTCACTCTGTTGCCCAGGCTGTGGTACAGTGGCTCGATCTCAGCTCATTACAACCTCTGCCTCCCAGCTTCAAGTGATTCTCCTGCCTCAACCCCCCAAGTAGCTGGGATTACAGGCACCTGCCACCATGCCAGGCTAATTTTAGTATTTTTAGTAGAGACAGAATTTCACCATGTTGACCAGGCTGGTCTCGAACCCCTGACTTCAGGTGATCCACCCACCTTGGCCCTCCCAACAAAGCGCTAAGATTATAGACAAGAGCCACTGTATCCGGCCACTACCAGTTTTTGTAAATAAAGTTTTACTGGAACACAGCCATGCTCATTCATTTACACATTGCCTATGGCTGCTCTCAATGCTGCAGGCAGAGTTTAGTGGCTGGATCAGAGAAGTATAGCTCAAGAATATTACAATACTTACTATCTGGTCCCTTACAGAGAGAGCATGCCAACTGCTAATCTAGATAACATAACTAGAAATTGGGGCTCAGGCAACAGGGAGATAAGGCTACTGTCCATTCTTCCATCCTAACAATTTGCTCTCCTACTACCCTGTCCAAGTTCCTCTTCTTCAAGTTCACAGGCACTTTTTCAAGACCCACCCTAGGACACAACTTTCTCCAAAATGGCATTCCTTCAATTCCAACTTACTTTGATTATTCCCTCATCCTGTGTTCCTATAGTTACTATTACCTCAAGGTGCTGACTTCTTTTTTGAATCCAGCATCTAAACGAGTCTTTTCCTCCTGATGCCCGCCTGGGGCAGGAAAATACCAATTCAAACAAGGCTGCTTCTACTACCTAGACAGTGATAAGCACCTTATTTGGAATTACTTTTCAAACTTGCCACACTTTCTTGAAAACCTTAATAAAGAGTCCTTACTTTTGGATTTGGGGAAATGGTTAGGAGTCAGTCAGTCTGCTTTGTGAAAGGAAACGAGACTTGTTTTCTTGGGGGGCTTAATTTAGCTCTGAAGGCAACACAGAAAGAAGAAAGCCAGGTGCAGTTTGAACCACGATAGTGCTGTCTGAAAGTCTGCCAACTTAACTTAACTTACAACCACAAATAGACTAGATTTCAAATTTAGTTCATAAGTCAGTTTTTTGGAACTAAATAATTTTCTCACATATTGGTTGAAAACAGACAATAGTATCACTGAAAAGCTCTGTTTTCTACATAAACACGTGGTGCCACTGGGATTTTGTTTGTAAGTCATATAGCTACTTTGAATTTCACAACAAGATTGTCAATGCTCTAAGGCAAGGGGAACCCACCTTCTATCCCTGTGAGTCCACTTAAGATGTGTGTGTTCGATCTCCAGGATGAAGCTAAATGTCACTTCCCCTCTGAAGAGTTCCCAGCCATCCTAAGCTGAGGTGGCAGCCTCAGTACACAGGGTTTCGTATCTACTCACCTTCTTATCTGTTTCTCCTGGATCGCATGTTCACCATCCTGCATCCAGTATGGTACCAGAGCCAGAAGGAGAATCCAGTCATCCCTGCCTATTCTCTCTTTCAAATATAAAAGAACACCTATGTGTTCTAATAGCAGTTTTCATTTGCATTCTAACTCTGTACACAATGTGCTCCAACATCAAAGAGCTGTGATGTACAAAGGGTTAAGTCCACAGCCCCAGGAGAGGTTTGCAGGAAGCACGATCTGCAGAGGATGGGACCCTGACATATTTATTTCCAAGTGACACTGTTCACAGGGAAATAATGAGAGTCTACAGGAGAGAACCTGGCTTTTCTTGATTCAGTCTTCTGAGACTTGGTTTGTAATTTTGCCTGAAACGAATTTCTGGACCTTCTAACATGCCCAGTTTCACACCCAGGTGTAAGCCACTTGAAAGGCAATTAGATGATGCTGAGACTATCTGCTGTGTTCGGTTCTGCAAGGTATGGGCCATCTTCTTTGGGCAGAGAGACAGTCTTGAATTGACTACTGGAGGAAGACTCTCGCCATCCTACCTAGTGGGCACTGGACAAGACCACCACCCATGGCTTCCTTACCACTGTTGTCCAGGGCACCTGAGGAATCCTGGTGTAGGTCATGGTTATGTAGATAATGAGGAAGAAGACGGTGAGGACCCAGTAAAATACAGCTACAAACATGACCCAGCCAAATGCTGGGACCCGGAAGTACTCAGTTCCGGCGATAAGTGTCCATACCAGCAGCCCCAGAACCTGTGAAGTGGTAGAAGCGGTGGAGAGAGGAGGGGAAAGAAGATAAAGAAAAAGAAGGAAGAAGGGACAAAGAAAAAAAAATAATTATACAGAATGTCAATTACAACTTTCATGCATGTACCCGCTCCTTCCCCTGCCATGACTTAAAAATATTACAGGGTTTGCAAACTCATGTGCCTGCAAATGCCAGGGAGGGAACCATGGCAGGCCAGGCAGGGACCAATAATGCCTTGTTTTAGGGAGTACTCTTAAAACTCAGCTCTAGTTGATTGTCGTGGGCTGGTTTTGCCAGGCCTTTTCTTTTCCCTCCAGGAGAATACAGAAACTCAGGCTTGTACATAATAATCTTGGTTTTAAATATTAGCACTCATCAGGAGTTTTAAAACATCACTTGGTGAAAAACAACATCTATGGCTGGAATTTGCTCCCAGGCTGATACCTGTCAAGGAAACAAGGCTGCAGGTGCACTTAGAGGTGGCCCCTGGAGCTGAGCTGCTCTCAAGGGATGAACCTCTGGGCATTCCCTGCTGTTCTCACAGATGGCCAGTGACTTGCGGTCTGAGAAAGCTTTCAGAAGAGAGAATGAGCGACAGCCCAGTGCAGATGGAGACGCTCAGCATTTTACAAGTGTGCATTTATCCCAGCAATAGTCACCAACACTTCCCCACTGCTGATGAGTACGACCATCCCCAAAGCCAAATTAATGCCACTCATTGACTCATGGAAGACGTCATCAAGGAAAAACAAACTGACCTAAACTGTAGGTGTGTTGAGTCCTGGACAAAGGAAGCCTGGAACAAGGTATGCACTCACATTCTAGCACCCTCCAGGTGGACTTTATTCCTAAGTCACGAAAAAGTTCAGAAGTGAACCACATCCCCAGGACACAGCAACAGGAGTCCAGGGTGGGCTCTCGCCCTGCAAGTCCTGGCTCACCGTGTGACTCAGGACAAAGAATTTCATTTCTGTTTTCGCTTTGTGACATATGAAACAAAATACTCTAATCACCAGGCTTGGAAGACAGATTTCATTCGTTTCACGCAGGAGCGCCCACAATATGCCAGGCTTCCTGCTCTCGGGCAGGAAGGACAGTGGTATTCAGATTGAATAGATCCTGCTTGTACAGAACTAACGTCTAGTGGGGAGAAATATCTGAGCAATTACAACTGTTGCAAATGTTATGAAGAAGGTAGAGGGTGTGATAAAGGTCTGTGACAGGGGAATAACCTTGCTGGCAGGCACAGGAAGCATCGGGGAAATCCAGGCTGAAGAATAACCTTAAGGCTGAGTGAAAGCACTAGCGAGACAGAGGTGGGAAGGCAATGCTGTAGGCAGAGAACACAGCGTGGGCAGAGGTCTGATGGTGGGAAGGGCTCTGCTACCTTCTAGAACCTGTAAGAACATATAGTAAGGTAGGATATTGGTGTAAAATGTTAAGAGAGTTGGGGAAGGTCAGATGATACGAGCCCAGGAGGTCTAGGGATTTGTGCTTTATCTGAAGGGCAGTGGGAGAGTTTTAAGCAAGAGAATGTTAAGATTAGGCTATTTTTTTTTTATAAGGGCACTCTGGCTGTGGGTAGAGAATGGACATGTAAGGGGTAAGGGGGAGCAGTGTGAGAGACAAGTTCAGACTGCGCAATAATCCAAGCGGGAGAATATGAGTCTTCAAGACCAATATGGTGGCGGTGAATATCGAGAAGTAAATGAATTTAAGACAAATTTCAGCAGATGGGACTTTAATGGATTAGATATTGATTGGGTCAGAGGAGGAAAGGGGAGGGCATAAAATGGAATGATCCCCAGCTCTCTAGAAAGATTTCTGAAGTAGATTAGTGTTTGACTTGTTCTGTTGGGATGATGGAAGAGGAACAGGTTAAGGGATTGTTGTGCATGAGTTGAATTTTCAACCTACGCAGTTTGAGGTAGTCGGAGACCTTCAAACAGGGTTTTGAAGAAGTGGATGTTGAAGAGAGAAGACTTAAGCTCTTCTTTAAGAAGGAAGACTTCCCATGATGACCTTGAAGCCATCAGACGGGTTTCCAAGAGACATGTTAAACTGCTTCCCGAGAGAAGCACTTCCCTGGCATAGCTTGGGTGCCTGTGCTGGGGAGCAGCTAAGACTCTAAATGTTGCTGTTTCTGCTCTTTAGAGTTGAGCATCAACATTCTTATGTCTGATTGATATTAGTGTATGAATTCCAGAGACAAGATGCTTCATGGAGATGTGCTTTTGTGGTTACATCGCTGACAACAACCCTTATTGAAAGTGAAGGTACACAAAACGGGATATAATTCCAGAAAGTGCTAAGCCTCATATGAATGAGGTTTCTGGGCCTGAATTGGTCCTGACAGGTAATCTATATACATGTGTTTGACATTCTGTTGGATCAGTAAGACTGGTAATCAAAGTAATCTGACATGGCAGCATCGAAAACATTTCTGGCTTCTTGAGGGTCAGAGCGGCCCTTTGTGGATGATTCACACGGGAAACATAACAGTGAGTGGAGAGGCGCTGCAGATGTGTTGATGTTGTCTCTCTGTGGGATCACCAGGGCTTAAGAGTTTCCATCACAAGTCTGTGTCCAGCTAAACAGGCTCAACTCACAGCTCTTGGCTCTGGATGAAAAAACGTTTTTTATTATTAACGTGAGTGAAGCCTGCTGTCCAGGACTGCATTGTCTAGTCGGCTAGCTGTTGTCATCTTTGACACAAAGGTACAATATTGTTAACCAAGCCGCCTTGCAAAGAACAGGAATACTTGACCCATGACCTCACCAGCAAACAAAGTAAAAAGAATGTCTCTGTCAAGAAAAGCATTGTTCTACCCAAGTGAATTTCCTAGGTAACTGAAATATATCTAGAAGCAAGCCTTTTATCTCACATGATAACCAATGCTGAAAAAATCACTCTTCAAAAATGTTATTCATCTTCTGCTTTGTGTTTCAGGTAAACCCGAATCTTTATTTGCTTAGACTACAAAAATACTGTTTGTTTTCCCTGATAAACATTTTTTGAGGCTAAGACTTTTTTTGGATGGCAAAACTAAGACTTTTAAAATATTTCAAAGTGATAAATGCAGGAGAAACATGAACACAGAAATATACAAAGAAATGAGAATCCCCATCCCTATCCACCAGTGATAAAAATTCAAGAAAAACCAACATGACCAATTTTGTATTTACCCTTTTTAGCCTCTTCCCTTGCATTTATAACCACCTCCTGTACACCTTTTTCTTTCTCCCTTATAAATATGGATCACTCTGTTCACAGGACCTAGAAGTTGTTTCTTTCAGTAAGTAATACCATGGAGGACAGCCTTCCACACTACCACACGGATCTCTGCCAATTTTAACAGTTACTCAGTTTTCCATAATTCATGTAACCACTCCCCTACTGATGGAAATTTAGGTTGTCTTATGTTTGTACAAAAATGCCCGGAAACATTTTTATAACATATGCCTCTGTATACCTGAATTCCAGGACAGATGTCTAGGAGGAAAATTTCTAGATACATATTTTAAGCTTTAGAGGTGCTATCAAATTGTTCGGCAGAAGCTTGTACTAATTTACTGACCAAGGATGGTGGTTCAGGCCTATAATCCCAGTATTTTGGGCGGCTGAGACGGGCAGATCACTTGACGCCAGGAGTTTGAGACCAGCCTGGCTAACATGGTAAAAACCGGTCTCTCCTAAAAATACAAAAATTAGCTGGGCGTGGTGGTGTGTGCCTGTAACCTCAGCTACTAGGGAGGCTGAGGCAGAAGAATTGCTTGAATTGGGGAGGCAGAGGTTGCAGTGAGCTGAGATCGCACCACTATGCTCCAGCCTGGGTGACAGAGTGTGACTCTGTCTCAAAAAACAAAATAATCCAAACCTGTACTAATTTACTCTCTTATATCAGTATATGCATGCTTTTCCACCTTCGCCAGACTAAATTTCCATGTTTTAAATGGCTAAAAACCTGTTTAAAAAAAACCAGAACCCATGTTTTACCTTTCACTGCTGTATTGAAATACAGCATGACGTATACAAATCCTAAGTGAACAGCTTGGGGAATTTTGATTAACTGAACAAACCTGTGTAACCAGCACCCAAATCAAGAAACAGAATACTGCCAGCACCTGAAAACCTTACCCCCACTTCTAGTTACTCCTCTCCACTAAAGGCGACAATTGCCCTGATCTCTATCATTCTAGATTAGTTCCTGCTTTTGATCTTCATATAAATGGACCCTACAGTATTCAGTCTTACATCCGCTATCTCTTGCTCAATACTGTGAGAGAGCCACCTGCAACACCGAATGCTGTTCCTTCTTCCTCCTGGTTGATTCTCATATTTGGCCATGAGAATCACCTAGAGGGCTTGTTGACACAAGCCTGTGATTCAGGTCTAGGATGGATCTGAGAATCTGCACTACTAACAAGTTCTCAGGTGATGCTGATGCTGCTGGCCCAGGGACTGCACAGGAAGAACCACTGATGAATAGCATCTTGTTTCTACTTTAATTTGCATTTTTCTTCATCAATGTTGAGGACAGTAGAGCATTTTTTTTTTTAATGCTTATCAACCACTTAGAGTTCTCCCCTTATTTCTTGATAGTTTTTTTTTCTGTGTGTGTGTGTGTTTAAAAGTCTCACTCCATCACACAGGCTGGAGTGCAGTGACGCAATCTTGGCTCACCGCAACCTCTACCTCCCAGGTTCAAGTGATTCTCATGCTGCAGCCTCCCGAGTTACCGGAATTACAGCCGTGTACAACCATGCCCAGCTGATTTTTTGTATTTTTAGTAGAGACGGGGTTTCACCATGTTGGCAGGGCTGATCTTGAACTCCTGACCTCAAATGATCTGCCTGTCTCAGCCTCTCAAAGTGCTGGGATTACTGGCATGAGCCACTGTACCTGGCCAGCCACTGTGGTGGCCAGATTTTTAAAAGTCACTTTCTGACTTGTAGAGATCTTCACATAAGAGAGATGGTAACCAGCTATATATGTGGCAAATAT